TCGTCAGCCAAAAACAAATAAACAAAGTGGGATATTATAACAGGCCTTCCCAGGCGAAGAGGTGACTTTGTTGTAATGTAACCGTGTGGAGTGAACCACTGCTTGCTGTGATGAATACGGAGTCAAACGGAAACTGCTGTATTGAGCGAACAACAAAGTGAGGAAGGAAGAGAGATCCAGAGGAACGAGAGCTTAAATACAGGATGCCAGCAGCGCGCACGTGACACATACTACATGCTGCGCTACACGTGATCAACCCCTAGTTCCTCCAACTCCGTAACACTTACTTATATCTACTATCCCGACGCTAGTTCGTAGTACGTCGGTAGTTAAGGATCAAGCTTGAAAGAGGAGCTAAAATCGTGCGTTTATTCTTATACTAGTGAACCACCATCCCCGCACCTGAATATAGTATATACGTTCCGAGGACGTAGTATCGTCGCGTAGGAATAATCGTTGTACGCGAAAGGAGCGAAAATAGAGCGACTACCACTACCTCTACAAAAGAGCTTACAAAAGTGTAGCTACCAATAGTAGTAGTAGATATTGTGGTAGTGTTGAAGGCATGTAGTAGTAGTAGTAGGGTGGGATATATATCCCACCATGCGAGCTTACTAAGCCTTCATCCTCATTCACTATAAATCCTGCCATTAATATGGAGTGGAAAGTATTAATCCTAAAGACCTTATGTAACTAGATTAATTATACGAATAGTTTAGAACTGTCGGTATATAATTCTGGTGAATAGCACCTTGTACGAGAGCCTGGTAGACCTATATACTTTAGGTCATGTGAGTGGCTTGTTACTCACATACTTAAGTCTGTAGAGTACCACCTCTCTTTACCTTTACTCTTCATACACGAATGAATACAAAGAGAGATTATGTTTGTGTATCACCCTTTACGACAACCAGGTCGTACCAACAAGAACAATTGTTAGTCTTTAATTTCTTATTGTGCTAGGTGGAATGGGATAATTAAGTTACTTGTGCTAGAGTTTTGACATAATGACTTTGGCAAAAAGAAAAGATAAAAGAAAGACTTAAACTAACCCCCCGCCCCCCCTTCCCACCACTTACATCTCCTCGCTTTACCCTCATACCTACCTCCCTACCTACCTCCCCACGCTCCCTGCGTATCACTACCCATCCACCATATCCCCCTTATTCCCCCATCTCTCACCCCTAATACCAGTTGGCAGTTTCCCTCAAAGTTCGAACAATCACCACAACCGTCTCAAATCACTTAGGTAAATCAACACAGTTACACAAAGAAGTTTAGATTATCCCAGCTCATTCGCATAACGAATCTAGTTATAACTTATACCAGGCGAAGCATTTAGGAGAATTTTATTGTAAGCGCAGTGTGTGTAATATTACAGGGTAATGCCCATACCAAGGCTCTTACAATATAGCGTTGCTTGTAAAAAAAAAAGGGAAGGGAAATTCTTCAAGGAGAGAAATAAAGAGAAGGGCAAGGATAGGTATACAGGAATCTTCATGATGTTAGGATTTCTTGATCCTGCTTTGTTTTGCTTTGCCAGCCCAACCGAGTACCGACCCGTACGTAGTACCGCCTCATGAACCAAACACCATCCCAACCCATCCAAACACCCCAACCCACCCATACATACCAAGTCCTAGAAATAACAGAACAAGGTGTAAAAACAAAGAAGCAATAAAACTAGAAAACTAATCAACCCTCCTCTCCCTCCCCCAAACCTCATCAGCATCCTTCTTTCCCCTCGTCTCGGGCACAAACCCCACGACAAACAAAAAGCTAAGAGCAGCCAACCCCGTGAACCCAAAGTATACCCAGCCACGACCTCCAAGCCAGGTATTCAACCACGTATTCACAATGGGAAAGAACTGCGCCACCAGGAAGGTCGCCGCGTAATTCCCCGCCAGTGCCCAACTCTGCGTCGCACCTACAGCTTCCTGGCCCACGAGTTCAGAAGCCATCATGAAAGGCACGGGACCGAGACCTGTTGCGAAGAAGGCAACGAAGAGGAGGACCGAGACGGCGGAGAGGAATTTGATTTCCATCCTCAGAGAAATGGCGAGGAGGAGGGAGGACGTTCCCATGCCGAAGATGGAGAGGAGGAGACATGCTTTCCGGCCTATTTTATCGGCCAAGGGCGCACAGGCAACGGTTGTGAAGAGGTTGATGAGTGAGATGAGGATGGTAAGGGCGGAGGAGGACATGGACACTACGCCTTTGAGGAGAGAGACGGAGTACATCATTACGCTGTTTATACCGCACAGTTGTTGTGCAAACATAATTCCTAGGACAGCGATTATAGCGGGACGGTAGTGCGGGTCGACAATTATGGCGAAGAATCCGATGGGTGCGATGCTTGGTTTTGGGGGAGGGGAGAGTCGGCTTGGGGTTGTAGGGTCTTCTTGAATGAGGGATTCTTGTTCTGGGTTAGACTTGTTGATTTCTGTTGTGTCCCAGTGTTGAATTTCCTCGGCGATTGAGGTTCTGGATCCGCGAATTCTCTGGAGGGTTGACGTGGCCTTTGAAGTCTGGTTATGGGTTGCTAACCAAGCTGGACTTTCAGGGACGAAGAAGAGTCCAAGTAATTGGAGAAGACCCAATCCTGCTCCAGCTGCCAAAATCATCCTCCATAATGAGCCCTTGCTCAGGAAGAAGCCCAATGTTTGTGTGATCAAGATGCCAATATTTATGGTGACTTGGGTCATGGAACCAAAAAGACCTCGTTCCTTGGGTGGTGCTACTTCAGAAATGTACAGCGGAACTATGACTGTCGATGCTCCACCTCCCACTCCGGACAGAAATCTCCCAATGGACATGATGGGCACTGTACCAGCCAGAGCCTCAAGACTCGAACCCAATATGAAAAAGACACTTGTGATGCGCATTGCCCATAATCTGCCATATCCCGTAGAGGTCGGTCCAGCGAATAAAGCCCCCACGAATCCTCCGACGACATAGGCCGAAGACAGAGCTGCAAACTGCGCTTCGTTCATGGGAATGCATTGTGGCAGATTCGTATCAACGCTCGAGGCAACTTTTTCGGCAGCGGCCTTGTTGGCACAAGTAATCACATCTTGAGGGGCGTTTAGTTCGGACTGGAGAAGTTGTTAGTAAGTACGGAAGAGTGGCCGGGGAAACCGGGAGGATGGAGATACCAAGTGGAAGCCGAATTGTAGAGAACCCAGAGTTGACACAAAGACCAGAAAAACGAGGTAGGCTGTGACATCTCGAATGCACTGTCGCAACCCCGTAGACGCCATTTACCGATTTGTTGACAGAATATACGATGCGTCTGAACCGTTGAGTGCTTCTCCAGCCCAGAACTCCATGTTGGGAGAGAGGTTCGGATTGCCTTCGCAGCGATGCGATCCCGAGGCGCTCGGAGCGAGGGTCGGCGTGCACCCTCCGAGCTTCTCAACGCTGACCCTTGTGAAGTGAAACATTCATTCACTATGTAAATTCTTATTCCGTAGATATTATATCACTTGTTTGCTGATGAGCGTTGGCACTATTTTCATGAAGAATGACCAAACAAACCAACCACTCTACCCTCACATATCTTCTCGCTCCAAAGAAAGCTGTGAGAAACCCCTCTCGCCTAACTTGGTCCAATCAGATAGATGTAGCCTCTTATGATAAGTACTAAGCTCACTGTACCCATACTTGCAAGTACGTACATGACTAAACCTTGCAAAGATAGAGTTGTAATTGATCACTCTTCGGGCAGACCCATGAGTTCTATTACTACAGTAAGTACTGTACAGTAGTGTTGAAAGGATCGTGAATAATGCTGCGGGTACTCGTGTGGACGGATGATTGCAGATCAAGGATTAGACGTGATAGCCGGAGAAGAACTCTCAAGCGGAATGCCGGAACAAGTACCAAAGTACCACTTAGACACTGAGCTTGTTGAGAACATGGAAGCGAGGCTACGGTGATAGCGCACATTGCATACATGGCGTACATCTCATTTCAATCATCTGTATGTGTATATATATCAGTCTGCGTTGGTCCACCAACAGACAACCAACATCCGGGAACACGGTAACCGATGTGTATGTGGTCTTCAGGGGAAATGTGGTAGAGCGGGGTAATGGGGGTCGGCTGAGCAGGGTGAGCACTTAATTTTCTTTTTCGGATAGCGAGGAGGCGAGCGTGATAAACGGTGTTATCCAACGGCCACGAGGAAGTACTGAGATATGAGAAGCCACGAATAACCTCACACTGAAGATAGGGGCGACAGATAGTCATGCAAAGTCATGGGAATAAACCTCATTCGGTGACTCGTACTTCCATGCCGCTATGCGGGGTATATCTGGTTGTCTGAATATGGGGAAATTCCAAATAAGAAATGAGACAGGGAAGAATTTGGCGGGGTGATTCCGATATGTTTGATAGAGCGGCAGATGCGAGTCTGACAACATGAGAGAGATGGAGGTGTTGATAGATATCAAAAAGAGAATTGTACTGTACTGTACGTGGATTACCTGAACCCCACAGAGGCGTAACCCTGTATTACCTGTACTACCACTGTGAGCGGCATTGATTAGTACTGTGAGAAAAACGGGCTGTCGGTTAAGTGTCAAGCTCCCCTGAGATTACTATTTGCGGCACATTGCAGTAGATGGCTAGTTTCTTCTGCATGTCTCTAGAACTAGACGCGACAGTGCGTAGTCCTCGGAATTGCCGGGTGGGATCGCGTGAAGAATATTCCGAATTACATCAGAGTGCTGACCGACTTTGATGCCATCTGCAGGAGTGTAGTAATCTGTAACTTATCAAAACTACAGTATTGGAGTGATTCATTTTTGCTGTCGTCGTTCCAAGCAAGTAAATCTGCGTTGGTAGGACAGTACATGCGAAGAGGCAGTGATAGTCGGACATAAGCGAGGGATTGGAAAGGCAGCAGCAGCAGCAGCAGCAGCACCAGCCAACAGGGCAGCTATCCGAAAGCTCACTGCCTTGCGAGATATTATTCTATAACCGATGCGGTAGGTGGTGAAGTGCTGTAAATTTATTGAGAGCGGATGAGGTGTTGTCGTCTCATCGCTTGCAGATTTTGGACTTGGAGATGGTCCCTGCTATCGTTGAGCTAGCCTCGAAACTAAGGCGCCAACGGTCAATATCTGCTTGGATGGCCAGACATTGGCTGGTCATCACATTTCACAACCTTCTCCACGATCAAGAAATCTCCCCCTCAACACCACTTACCTCTTGCAATCACTTACAGTAACCCACTCTTACGACACTCCGCCGCCTCTTTGCATTTCCGAATTCCCGGCTTTTCCGTGGCACCCCAATTTCCATTTCCCCCCAATTTTCACCTGCTGAAGCTCGCGTGTGCATGAACCAGAACCAAAAATACGGTCACCCAGCCTAGTCTAACCTGAGCAAGGCAAGGCAGCGCAAAGCAGCTCCAAAAAACCCCACCGTACACGCACCTGAGGAGCTGGACAGTAGTGGACGCTGGACCAGAGGCAGGCCAAGAAAAGCGCGCTAGCATCCCGACAAATCCGTCAGACTCTTGTCTTTGATTACGGGTGCTGACGGTGATCCAATTGTGTGGCAGCCGCGCCCCATTCGAGCACTTCCTAAGTTGTCACTCGTAGCCGCATCCACGCATCCACCTATCCACCTGTGTGATCCCAATCCCATCCCAGTATCATACGCACATCCACATCCTTTTGAGATTGCTGCACTGGGGCACTGACACTGGCACTTGGATCAACCCCAATCCAACCC